TTTTAATTACATTTGATTTGATGGAACTTTCCACAATCAAATTCTATCTTGGTGATTTTTTATAAATATAGCATCTTTATATCAATATGAATTTGCAATTAATTGCTGAAAATATATTCAGTTCTGTTCAGTTCAATTTTATCTTGAACAAACTGGATACATGTTGCAAATTAGAAGTAATCTAAACATAAAAAAGTATAAACAATGTAAAAGAAAGTTAACTAATATAAACATAACAAAACAAATACAGAATAGAGGAGAAGCAAGCTAGTGTTGTACACAGGGAATTATTTTAAAGTAGTTTATAAACTGATCGAGGAAAGAGCACCCCCTAGTAAACTAGATGTGTTCTGCTTAATTTTTTGTTCTAAAAGTAAGAAATCATATTTATGAAATGAAATAAAAATTAAATTAGAGAATAGGCAGCAGCAAATGGTGCAGCAGTGAGGCAGCGCACTGTCAGGTAAAAACACATCAATAGAACGGTAAGGAACGTGTTACCACAGCAGCCTCTTAAATTGAAAGAGAAAGCAACCCTGATGTAAGCTAGCAAGACGACGATGTTTATTGCTGAAGATCAAGATATAGTTTTATGGGAGCTGTTGATTAAGGCTTAATTGGTCAAGAAGAGGGGTAGCCCAGGGCGGCTCAGCCCACTTGGTTGGTGCGTGATCGTGAAATTTAATTTCCAGTACCGTGAAACTAGATTTGAAATTATTTAACGTGTGATTGCGTGATTCAGCATGGATACCTTGGACCCCCTGAAGTTCGGCGATATTTGCAGCTACGAAGAAAGTATGCTTCTCTCTTTTGTCTCTTTGGTAAAGAGCCAATGAGGAAAAACAAATGATATCATTGAAAGCAAGACAGTTATACAGAATTAGCTGTTCATCATTCCGAAGATATTGACTTGTCTCAGCCAAGGTTCGAGTGATCATGAAAGTGATGAAAGTCATATGAAGATATAGCTATAAAAATTTTTACATTGGCTGGGCAACAGGAATTTTTTTATATTTCTTAAGAAAAAAACTAAAAAAATGTTGCTTTTACTACTAAATTTTGTGTTAAACTTCCTGAAATTTTACAACTACCCCACTGTTTATCTCACTTCCACACATGAATCTCGCTGATATGTTGTCAAACCTTAAAAGGTAAGCTAATGATAAATGATAGAAAATAGGTAAGCTAATGAAAAATCTAAATTTTAGAGACACTAATAATATGTAGAGACATTAAAATTTTTAATGCCTGGCAGCAAAAGTACAATAATAGACCCAAAAAGTACAGCATAGCCTTATCTACATCTATATGATAACTATATTATGCAAACTATATTTATTACAAACCTCTCCTTTTTACTGAATTGCTTGAATAACCGATCTTTTTTGCCTAACCAATTTCTTTTGTCTAACCAATCTTCTTTTGTTCAAAGTAATGAAAAATGTATGGATCTGAAAGACCGTCACAAAGCTGACATATACTTAAATATGACACATATACATGATCTCTACTTAGCATTTTACAGCAAGGTAACGAAAGGTAAAATTACCTTCACTGTATCTTTTCAAGCATTTAGTTCGTTCCTTTGGAGATTTGATAGCATAATCTTGAAATGGTAGGTCAAGCTCTGTCCGAAAGCTAAAAAGATTAAGATGATTGCATCTTTCTAAGTAATTGATTGATTTTCAAAATTGTTTAAATACTATACCAGTGTTGCAACTTCACCTACCTTAAGAACACTTTCTCGATGACTTAAACCGGCCCCTAACAGGACTTTGCAAGGAATGATAATTCGAAATAGCCCTCTTGGGTTTCAAAGTCTCCTTAATTCAAACCGCTCCATTGGTTTTTCAAGGCTTCTTCCATCGAGGCTCTGACACTGATGTTGAAAGTGAATTTCACTTCAAAGAATAAGGGAATGATACCAATTTAAATCAAGCTTCAAGGCTCACCTTAATTTGAGTCCACAAAACTAAGTACATTTTAACCTACCAAATGTACTTTAAGGCTGTAATGGTAGCTTTGATAAAATCTAGAAATCTGATTGGCTCCTGATTGTCTGTTTGGAAAACGGTACCCATAACTGCTATTTGGCCTTAATGTTCAAGTAAAATTGTATTATCGCCCGCACCTATCCAGAGGTAAAAGTAGTTTGCAAATTTAAAAAAAAGAATGATACTTTTAGCGCAAGTCAGCATGAAGTATTTCAATGCGCTTTGAAAACAGAGGAGAGAACTATAAACCGTGTCTGCGAAATTGCTATATACGCTGGTGGCTCAAGTTCAGTACTACAGATAGTAGATAAAGGGTAAGAAAGACAACGATATATTGTTTAGGCTCCAATTCTAATTCCAATAGAGGACTGTCTAATTCCGTAAATTCTAACTTAGGTTCCAAATTCGATCCGTTCTAATTCTGTCTTTTCTAATCAACTTCAACTCAAATCTCATTTCTAACGCATACTTCACGTGTACATTAAATGACAACAACAGCAAAAACTACTGTAGTACGTCATACCATACAATTTCTACACCATGTGAACAATAATTGGAAGACGGTCAATGATGGGAAGTGAGAGCAGATCGAGTGAGCTTTTAATCTCGGAGGAAATCGCAAATTTGGGCAGTAAAACCTGTCAAATGAAGCATAATGTCTAAACTATGAGATTACATGCAACAGACAAAATCAGAAATATGAGCTACACTATGCATATATGGTTTGCTTTATATAATACAAAAAAGACTACTTGCCTAGCAAAACAAAAAGATTCGAAAGATAAATGCTCAAAAATCAACATTTTAATCCAAAATGGTGAGTGAATGACAAGAGCAGTTAAAGTGTTAAAGAGGAGAAGATCGCAAGTTTTTCGGCTGTTCAAAAGTTTGGTCCGCAAAAGTGCCCAGTTTAATTGAAACTACCATGGATTGGTAACACTTCCTTGCGATTCAAGAGTCAGATTAGGCAAGCCATAACCAAATGTTTCTTTGCTGTCAATCCTCGGATTTTACTACGTACGTAGAGATCCCATTTCCATTCCATTCAAAAGGACCTGCGTTCCTACCAAAACAAAAAAAGGTCTCGTCCATTATGAATGTACGTCCAGGGGTTTGATTCTGGCTACGTTAGGGACGCACAACCCAAAGATTTAAATAAAACAGCATTTTCCTTCCTAACATACGAAACAATACTGGCCCCTCAAGAGAGAACAGCTCCTCATCTGTAGTCTAGGAAACACTTGTTAAAATCAGAAGTATTACTGTCATCGGCTCATTACATCTTTTTAGACAACCCACGATTGGTGCAAAACCTTATAATATCGATATGTGATAACTTGGCAGAGCCCGGTCGTCCTTCCATCTAGCAGTTTTGGAGTCAATCTACATAAAAACGAAAAAGCCGCCATTGTGTAGACAAAAGGAGTTCGTTTTCTCTCTTGGACTCCATTGGTAATTTTTCTTTAGGCTCGCGGCACTGATTGGTCAACTATACCGGTTTTGTGCTTGCGTTTTTTTGATTGGCCTATTTCGATCCACATCTGGGTATATATTTTCCATCGTGTTCTTTCGGAACCTTATTCTGACGTTTTTGCTCTGAGGAGTGTCAGACGAAAAAGCTTTTAGTATGTCGTAAAATGTTTGCTTTTTCAAAGCCATTAGCAGTTAAAGTATTGTATCCGCAGTGACGTAAGATTGGAAGATTGGGAAAGGATGGGGGCAAAGAGGAGTCGAGAAATTTTGCAAACCATTGAAAGAAAATTTTGCTGACCACACCCTTAAGAATTTGGAAAAACGCCCAATTTTATAAATGCGTTTTAAAAGGCTAAGGCTTTTTTTAAGTGTCAATGTTTGGCTAATCAAACACAATAACCGTCATATGTAGCTTTTTGTGGCTGACCCCAACTACAACTGTCAATTTCCTTCACAATTCCTCTACCCTTTACATTCTGAAATGTGTAAGGCGAGGATGTTCTACGTGTAAAATCTGATTTTCCAATATTGTAAGCAAATATCTAAAAATAATAAGCAGTATTTAAAAGTTTCGAACCAAGTCCATTCCCCTCGGAAGAAAATCGACAAAATTACCGACCAGAATTTCAGAATCCAGTTTTTCAAGGATTTAAGCGCTTTAGAATTTTAGTTTCTATCTATTGGGAATTTCTAAAGAACTTGAAGGACTTTTCTGTTTAAACCCTAAAACGAGGATAAGTTGTAAAACGTTCTGTATAGGTCTAGACGAGAGGGAAAATTATTGGGACCACGCCCTTTAGATTTCAGGATACATTTTACAGTCGTTTGCAAACGTCTCTATTTCTCCTAAAATTTCAAACCTCTTCCCCTAAGGTACTGTCTGTTTTATATTGCAGATTTGCACTCTTCTCAGACACCAACTTCCTGCGCATTGAGGTGGCGGCAGCTCCCTTGCCGCTCTCACTAAGCTACTGTCTATCCGACGAAGAATGACACATGAAAATGGTTGTTATCAACAGCTAGTGATGCAGCCAAGATATTCCCATGATCAGCCTTATTCTGATATTTCTCAACTCTGCTCTCTATAAACTTTATCAGTCACTCCTGTTGGGTGCACACTCTCCCTTGTAAACAATCTTACAGAGTCTGATACATACATGACTCCAATGGCTGCAAAGTTACACTGATTGCAAAAGTGACCTTGGGTACCAGCATTGAATGTGTCTATCCCATCATCGAATAGCCTCCACATAGTCTTTATTCATCTGAAGAGATTCTACATATCCTTCATTCAAATTCAAATGAATACCAATCCCACTTGAAACGACCCTGCTCCGATGTCTTTGTTTGAATTTATATCTGTTCAGTTCTATGAAGTTAAGCTGTCCCTGCAGCCCTTCTAGCTCCAAGTACTTCTTCCTTAGAAAGTAACAACATAAAATGGTTTGCTGGCCATTTGAATTTTCAATTAGATGGACTACACGCTAGACCTATTCTCATGTATCCAATCGGCTTTCCCGATCACGAACGCGCTGCAAAGCCTCTTTTCTAATTCTGAATGGTTGACTGACGGGATATAGTGCCTTTGCTGAAGGTTTTGTTTGTATAAGAGAACTCAAAAGTGAGTTTTCTTAACCTGGAAAGCACTGCGAATACTGATGTCATAAAAATACATTTCTAGAATTTTTCAATTTGGACTTTGCCCTAATTAGCTAATGCACTTTCCCCAATCAAATCACTGTATTTTGATCTTGCTATGAAAACCGATGAACAAGGCTAAAATAAAAGTAGAACGACAGTTCTTTCATTTGCTATATCTTTGTCAATTGGCAACATACAAATTGATTTTGCACCATAAGAGTTATCTTCTGATGCATTTTCATGTTATGCTTCCAAACTTTCGAAAATCGTTTTTTAATAAAGCTACACTTAAGAACTGAATACAGTGAGTAGCTATAACTAACTTACTGGTCAACACGCTTAGAAGCAGAAAGGGGTCCAAAGACGAGTTTTTAAGCACTCCATTATTACAAAACCTTTGGCACTTAAACAAGTGAAATAATCTTACACTCTATGACTACTGTATACAAAGCATGTTTGTAGCTGCACAAAAGGGCTTAGAAATATAAATAATGATTACAACGTTTGGCAATTATTCATTTCAAATTGCTTAACTTCAAGTTCCAAAACACACAAAATCATGTCTATGCTGAAATCTAAAGAGCATAAATGCAACATTCCCTAAGATAAAAACATAAAATACTAAATTGAGCCTATATGTAATATTGCAAATAAATCTACTCACAGAAGTGAGGTAAATGCAAAAATTGCGTTATAAAAATAATGTCTAAATCTAAAAGATAATGAGGTATAATAAAGATACAGGTATGCAGGTATAATAAGGGATTTTACCAAAAAAGGAATTGCACCATATATAAAATAAGAATGAATGGCCACCAACTAAGCCAATATATAGAACTAATGAAAATAATGCCTTTCCATAGCGAGTTCTGTGGCTAAGCCTTCCGCATTACCAAGCTTTGCTATCCAACCTTATTGTTTATATATACGAGGCGTAGTCAAATGAAAACCATGGGATCGACTGTGGTTTGGCGACATAGTTTCCTATCAAGCGAGAGTTTCTAGAGTCGTTTAAAACTGAATTGCGAGGACTTTTTCAAACAGTGAACGAGACTTTAAAAACGAGGACTGTCGGGACAGTAGGAGGATTTTCTCGAGAAAAAAACAGGAATTCACAGTAACGTACTGGATTTTCAGAAAGCGATAGCCACTCGGAACCTTGTTTGTATCGTCATTGCGGGGAATGGGCTTAGAAAAAGTTACTTTTATTAAGTAAAATTAGTGGTAGATAAAGCTTTCTCGCTACTTATTGCAAATTTTTAAGGGGCAATCATATTGTGTCATCGTCAAAAATAATGTTTCCAATCAGCATTTTAATGTTCTTGCCAGACAAAACAGTTCTATGTTAACAAGAGACTCACTTTAGAGTACTAAGACGTGTTGCTAGGGGATCATAAAATCGGTTAAACATTTCAATAAAGTTAGTTGATTCCAACAGTTGCATTGCTAAGTTGGGGATCATATTTGAAATTAGAAAGCCTAAGATTATGTCTAAAAGATTTATGAGAATATTCTATATTCAATCATTTACAAGAGTCTATGTTACAATTTGAATCGACATATAAAGCGAGTATATACGAATTAAGTATTATTATCGACAGCACCTCTTCTGGTTTCCTCCTGATTCAGAGAGATCTTCGTGAGACAGGTAGAGGCCAGCTGGCCTGAAAGGAACTGTCTTTATACCATCCCAGCCTTCTTTCTGATTAATGTCGCCCTGTTGTAGTCTGCGATAGACCTCCTTTGTTACTGATACGAAAGACTCTTCCACATTACACAATATCTTAGCTGAAGTTTCGATAAACATCATGTCGTGAGCTCGGGCAAAGGCTTCACCTTCTGATGTTGTTACTTCACGTAGATAGTCCAGATCTATCTTATGTCCAATCAACATAAAGACTACATCTTGGTCATCAGTGCTTTGCTTTGCTTCATACAGCCAATCTCTTGCATGCTCAAAGGATTCTCTGTTTGTGATGTCATAAACGATCAAGCATCCTACACAGTTCCTATAGTAAGTCCTTGTAATTGAGCGAAACCTTTCTTGACCAGCGGTGTCCCATAACTGCAGCTTTATGCGCACATTTTCTAGAAAAAACGGCATTAAAATAAGAAAATACACCAAATCTCTACATTATATCTAGTCAGGTTTTTTTATCCTTTCAAAATTCTCATAGTCCATGTTAGCTGTTGGAGGAAGTTGAGGTAACAATATGAAATGAACCAAATGATGTAATGTTAATAGCTGAGTATTCCTGAATGCATATTTCATGTACTGAAAAAGCAAATACACTCTCTCATTGCACCAAAAGTAAAACTCAAAAATGCTCTACTATACTACAAGCCTGGCCATAACACTTTTAACAGGGGAGCAGTAAACAGCATTCCTAGTAATTTCCAGGTGAGCTATTTGTAGATAATTAATAAATAGAAACAAATGAAAAATTGATTTCAAGGCAAGCAATTGGCTTTTTATAGCAATTTAGGAGAGCATTTTGTTGCTCAACTCCAACATTTGAGGAGAGCCTAGATGGGAGCAAGAGCTATGGCTCTCCTCATATGGCCAGGCCTGTACTGTGTTTTGCAAGTGACAAACCATACCAAACCATCTATCTCCATTATATAGCTAACAAAAGCCCATATAGAGTGTTATGTTTTGGCACAAACAAGCAAATAAAAGGCAACCAACAGCCTGGTAATTCTCAACCATGTGTGTCTCTCTGCTGTCCCTTAAGGAAACATTTGCATTAATGTTACACCTCCCTGTAAAAAAGACCCCAAACTGATTTTATGATGTTTGGGGATTTCATGGGGATTAAAATGATTCTACTAGTTTGACCAGCCATGGCCAAACATTTACGTTCTACATAGCAATAGAGGTTTGCTAACACAAAAACTAAGGTTGCAACTTCCTTGAAAACAGGGACAAAGGAAGCATTATGACTTTGGATTTGACTTTTGGAAGAGCACTGATCATGGTTACCAGTCACAAAGAACTTCTGTGACTACAAAAGGGTACACTGTGAAAATTTAACCTCAAAGCTGCACTTAGCCTTCCTTAAAGGGCACTTGCAAAAACTCAAGGTTTTGGGTTCCCTTTCAGCCCCTGGTCTATGTTTCTTCTTCAAAACAGTATAATGTGGCTTAACAAAGACATTGGCTTTTATATACCCAATGGATGACCCAATATTTGAAAAGGAAGGAGCTCTTTGCAAAGTGGGATTAATACAGTTTGATTTCTCAACAAATGTTGAGTGAATGAATAAAATCAGTCTTTTCTGTAGCAAACCTTGACAACTTAAAGGACCTTTTTTGATTTGCAACATTATGGCTTTGACATGAGTGTAATTTCTCCCAATATTGAAACTTTAAGAGTAACCCATAATAGGTTAATCAATTTAAAACAGAACAGAATAACACTAAACCCTGAAAATTTAATCCTTCCACACCACAAAGAAGGGAAGTACCTACCGTTTCCTTTGATACACAGGGCAAATGGGGAAAAATAAAACCTAGCCTTTTGCATAAACAATTTATAAGTGACAGGTGTCAGCCAAGTTTCAAAATGTCTTCAGCAAATCAAAGTAAAAAAAATAAGTGATATCATAGAGTAAATATAAAATGGGAATCATTTTCCAATGTCTTGAAACCTGAAGCCTTCCATCAGTGCTCCTGGTTTCATCTGCTATCCCTGACAACAAAATTTTTTCACAGTTAAAGGGAGGCTTCCTGGAATTTGCCCTTTGGCCATGGTCATGTTCTTTGATCCCCTCTATAAAAATGCTCCCGAGGCTACAACCCTTGTCAAAAGTCCATGCATGGGGTCCACCTTTGACCTGCAACCTCTCTTGAAAAGCACCCCTGGTATAAACACCCATCCTGGAAGTAAAACTTGTTAATAAGTCCCAACCCTAACATGCAAACTTTTGTGCTTTATAAAACAAATGGAGGCTTAACCAAGGATCCCCTCTCCCCAGAACAATTTTGGTTGTAGAGTTAATATTAAATCTTGAGATTAATTCATTTGACTGCACAAACCATGTCTTAACTTTGGATAGAACAACATCTTTTGAGAGGGATGCAGCATAAAATATTCAAAAATGTGTGCAATGTACCAAGACTTCTGGCAGCTATTGTAGCTAATTTCTATAACCATGCTCATCATCAAACTCTCTTGACAGGGCAGGTGCAGTGGTAACACTAAAGTTTGTCAACTCTTTAATATAACTAGTTTTATGTCTCACTTATTTCTATGTGATTCCTAGTACGCACAATTTTGATCATGAGATTGACATCTACCCCTTGCTGTTGCTTCTGTTTGTTCGAAAACACTTTTCGATAACATATAATAAGAAAAGAAAATAACTTGGTAGCATTTTAGTTTCCAAATTTTATTATCTCAACACACCAGGTTTTCATAAACTGTAATGATACATTTTGGTAAAAGCTTTTCATATATGTGCTGTGTCAAATATGTCAAAATTAGGTTTCTAATAGCTGAATAGTGCTACAACAAGAACCTTTCTACATCTTTGTAGCATCTAGCATTCTTACCGCACCGTCAGCCTATGGACCTGAAAAAGCCTGACAAAAGAAATATGTTGAACAAAGGGCTTTGATGCTCTTTGATTTGCTTCAAAAGTTATTTCATTAATAATTCTGGGGAAGACAATAGAATCTATGATGTAGGTTACCTGTCAGCAATTGAATGCTCCTGGTTTTGGAGCAGAATGAAAATTAAAACCAGAAATGAGGAAAATTAAAGTTTTCCATGGTTACTTAAGAAATCTTGCATGACCAGCTGTAAACATGAAAATAGTTTTATCTCAATGTTGATCAATTATATCAACCACAACAAACAGAAGTAGCTTCACATTGAAATCATAATTTTTGTGTGATTTTATCAATCTTTATATTTAACATACAATTCAAAATTTTCAAAAAATATGCATTTAAATCGTTCATTTGTTCACAATTTGTTCACAAAGTTTACAAACCACTAAGAACCAATAATAAAATAATATTGAAAAAACTCTACGAAGGAGGTCGAAGATCACGTATGCAGCAAACATTGACATAAACAGAGTCATGATTTGTCACACACAGTCACTCCAATGAGCTTCCTTGCTTGTTTGTCTCCGATGCCTTTTAAGATTTTTCGAAAGCAGAATCAGAAAAGAAAATCATACGCAATGATATCAGGGCCGCATGGGCGAGAAAGTCTGAAGTCACGTAATTAAGAATTTAAAACCCGCCAAACCATTGGAATGGATAGTGTTCTGTTTTAATAGACGGGGCCAAGGCCTAAAAAAAACACAAGGCCTTCGTAGTCTCACCTGTAAGCTGTAACATTCGAACGTGAAAATCAACTCCGACAGTCGGGTCTGAACTCTGGATAAACTGTCCTTCTGTGAATTGCCGGAGAAGTGATGATTTGCCCACCGTGCTGTCCCCAATAATAATAAACCTGAACTGGTAGAAGTATTGCGGTTCTTTGCGTTCCCTCATTTCCAAAGACATTCGTTGACATGCATGGAATGGGGGATTTCTCCCATTTGGCCTAACTAAATTTCAAAACAACATTCTTATCTTTTAAACCGCATTGTTAAAAATTACATACTGTGCTATCACAGCGGATTTGCACACAACACTGAGCTCAGTTCATAGCGCAGTCAACAGCACCCCAGCGGAGGAGACAGCAATCTTTGGGGACGTGTACTAGTATTCATTTTCTCTTCTTCTCCCAGTCTATAAACATTTTGTCAGTTCTTATTCAAATATTTAAGCAGCAAAATTTCTGTGACTATTGTCGGAAATTCTCGGAATCCTACTTAATTGAGTAAAGCAACAAAGGGCATCGCTACGGTGAGTGGGGGAGACAAAGGTTCAACGAGTACAAACTACAAAGTATGATGGCACATGATATTTTCCAAAGGTCGCTTTGAAATACAGCACAGGTACATTGGCAGCTGAGGAACTTGGACCGCGGGGAATTTAACGGACCAGGGTCACAACTGATATTAATTTAGTAACCAAATATGCCTTATCACTAAAATAAGACAAAAACATATCTCTGAACAGAAATGCAACAATTGAAATTTTGAGTCTTTGAACAAAGCAAGTTGTGACCATGACCAAAGAAACACATGTAACACAGTATGTGAAGTACATTCAATATTCAAATATGCAAAACCAACTGAATATTTTATTCCCCCGCTGAAAAACGTTATCACTAGTCGTAAAACCAGTGAATGTCATAAATATCAGGTGAATAACCATATACAAATGTAATGTTACTTTGAAAAATACTCTTTTTATCGAAGTGTGTAATATTGTTTGGAAAAATACTCTTTTTATCGAAGTGTGTAATATTGTTTGGAAAAATACTCTTTTTATCGAAGTGTGTAATATTATTTGGAAAAATACTCTTTTTATCAAAGTGTGTAATATTACCTTGAAAAATGAAAATGAGAAAAGACAGAAAAATTTCTTGAAGTTTAAGATGATTGCATTTTTGCCGTTCAACACAGAATATTTAGTAGCAATACAAATTCCTTCGAGTTGAAAAGTAATATAACAGAATATAATGTGGTGACATTATCAAATACGTGACCCTTGTTTTCAGAATTGCTGTCCGACACACTGCTCTTTACTGATACCAAAATACCAAGTTCTTTGTTATTTAAATAAATAATACCAGGTTTGTTAAAGTGTAAAATAAGTGTCTCGTTTCGATTTAATTCATAGACATCTCCACATTGTTGTCTTGTCCTGGCGTGTTCTACTTATCAGCAATACATCAACTATAAAATTTCACATGCATTTAAAAACAAAACTTTTTAGAAACAAAACATTTATACGTTACGATACAGATTTATACCCAAAATGGAAAAGACAAGATATGAGTATTGAGCATACAATAAACCTTTTTAACGATGATGAATAAATGAGGAGAACGAACAAGTTGTTTTCGAAGCTAATATGAAATATGACGAATCAACTTGACATTAGATTCTGTAGCAAACTTTGAGATTCTGATGCGTAATCGAGGGTGCTTATACGGATTGCTTGTAGGTTGATTTCACGTGGCGCCTGCATGAGGTATTCTTTGCTCCCAAGGCGCATTGCTCTCAGCCTCGGTCCTGAGAACAAAAAGTTGCAAAAAAGTCAATTAGGATTTTAAAGGATAAAGGAAATACATATCCGTACAAAAAGCCTTTTATATACGCTTAAGAAGACTTAAGAATAAATAAGACTCCCGTTAAGCCTTCAGCATCATTGAAAAATTTGCGTTGAATAAAATCATGTGTTTCCCGAGTAAATCAGCCACCCTTTATTCAATGTAAATATAGCATGTGCTTTGGGTAAAGATCTGGCTGGTTTTAAGCTGGAACTCCGAGTTTCACGCTTAATGTGCTCATCAAGCAACTGTGATCAGCCGGCAACTTTGATCATCAGGCAACTGTGATCGCATTAACCGTAAAACACTGATTTGCAACTTAAAATCGTCCGTTATAATACAGCAAGGCTTGTACAGCTCCGCCTGTAAGACATTGAGCACTTTTAGAAGCAGATCGTACGGTAGGGAATAAATAAACTGTTTGCAACTTTTCTTCGTCTTTATTTTTTAAGTCGATCCATAACTTTTTTGTAGCTCATGCAACTCGATAAACAATGGAGCTTTGGATTTCCTTTGCTGCACCAATACAAACACATCTTTCAACTCCCATTCGAACTAAAAACAAGTACTTGACTCGCGTTAACAAGTATTACAAGAAACCCCTTCGTCATTCGAAAAAATTTACTATGCGCTAGATAGTACTTGACTTATCTTCTTTTAATAAGGCAATTTCGCTCCAGAAACAGAAAATAGTAGTTACCGTATTGAGCTGGACGTGTTTCGTTGTTAAACAGTCGGCAGTCAACAGTGAACGGCCCTAGTGTATGGATTTCCATAAACAACTTCCGCAGGTCGCTCTCAGCCAATTTCCTTTTTGAAGCAACTGTAGATTGTCCCTGGAAAAATTAGTGTACGGGGTCTACCTTAATTTCAATGGGATCAAGGGGTAAAATTTTTACAAATCTATAAGGAGAAGAGCTTACAAAGATAAAAACTATATCTTTGTTGTACAGGGTAAAAACAGCACCAAAAGAATTGAGAATTATAAAATATGTTGTCGCACGCACAGATTTATAGATAAAATAAATCTTGATGCGAATTACGTTTGTTGTGTTACGTAGCATAACATAGCATAGCATAGCATAGCATAGCATAGCATAGCATAGCATAGCATAGCGTAGCGTAGCATAGCGTAGCGTAGCATAGCATAGCGTAGCGTAGCATAGCATAGCGTAGCATAGCATAGCGTAGCGTAGCAAAGCACGATATTATGCTACGTTACGTTATGTTCTGTTATGTCATGTTATGCAATGTTATGATATGTTATTTTGTGTATGTCATGTCATGTGCCATGTGCCATGTGCCATGTGCCGTGTGTCATGTGTCATGTGTCATGTGTCATGTGTCATGTGTCATGTCATGTCATTTCATGTCATGTCATGTCATTTCATGTCATGTCATTTCATTTCATGTCATGTCATGTCATGTCATGTCATGTCATGTCATGTCATGTCATGTCATGTCATGTCATGTCATGTCATGTCATGTCATGTCATGTCATGTCATGTCATGTCATGTCAGTTTTTAAAACACCCCAAAAAGTGTATTTTATCTTCTGACATTACAAATTAAAATCGGACTGCTAAGAGCAAATCGGCTGTTAAATCGATACTGATTTTACACATTCAGGTTAGCTCATTCCACTTAAGGTTCTGTGTCTGTCATAAAGGTGTTATATATCGTTTTTGAATCCTTTTGTTATTGAGCAGCAGGCTCTGCAAAAGGAAACTGGAACAAAATTTAAGACCTGATAAAAATTTTGAGAGTTAAGATGATTCTATCAAAAAATAGTTTTACCTGCAAAAATACTGTGAAAGTTGTGCCCAGACAAAAATTGACAAACTGTTTCAATATCTCTAACAGTGATATGTTACTCACGTGCTTTCAAAAAAGCGAGATGAACTTAAAATGTTTGACTTGTTTTCTTATATTAACATCCAAATAAGATAAAAAATATTGATTACGGAAATACCCTGGTATTGAATGGATATTGATGTGCACAGACAATATGCAGAAAACGTTTTCCTTGCATTATTCTAAATTGTACATCAGTACAATGGCTTTTGACAGCCAAAAAAAAGAATGAGACTTACAGGAAACTAAACGTACAAATTCTAAAATATAGCATATATTACATTTGTCATTATTTGCAAAGCCTGATACCAAATGAATGAGGACAGAACAAGCTTCTTTATTAAATTAAACAGGTGCATTTTAAAGGAAGACGTTTTTGCAACGATGTAAAGCATTTTCTCTTAAAGAACCTGGGGGGGGGGGGAGGTGAAAGTTTTCTAAAGTAGGCTAATTCAACAGGCATCTAGCAGACTAAATTTTGATTTTATACGGTGTACTAATTCCGAGAAAATGCAGCTGGGGTTGAAATTAAGGACATTGTCCCACTCAATGGGGGCAGTACGTCACCATGTCACTTTAGTGATTCTGTCTCTTTACATGCAATTTGTTCTATTGGAAAGTATCTAGCAAAATGCTTCACAGCTTATACGCATTCAGTGGCATCATACTCTTCGAGGGACATTAAGCTAAACGTCCTGTAAATACACAAAAGAAGAAAGCATGGAGCAAACGGTTACTCAATAACCCCCCCCCCCCCTCAAACTTGATATAAGAACTATGCAAGCAACACTTTTCTTCGGGTAAATGATATTCTATAACGGGCCTGATGAACAGAAAAGATAACAAGTAGTAATATAAACCTAGGACTTCGGACTTGCCCGATGACTGCTGCCGAGCGTATGCTTTCGTGAATGCAAGAAATTAGAATTTAGTCTATAGTCTAAGTCAAAGAACCTTTATTGTTCAGCTAGGAAATGCAGCTAGTATTTCCGGGTCGTTGCTCCAATCAAATTATCGTGAATGCTTGCAAACAAGGAACACAATTCTGTTCTTTAGAGATTTAATCTTGTAAATATCAATGCTGAAAAACACACTTTTGAGACAGAGTTTATCCTCGCTTGAAAAAGAGAAATAGTAATTGTCCAGCACGTCAAACTGGACTAGCTTGATCTTGGACTTCATTTGCCATCGTGCGTTGAGCATCAATTTTTTTGGCGTTTGCCGATTTGCTTGCAGAGGAAGAAGGTTGCGGGCAAAAACTGTTGCACTTATGGTTGTGCAAGCACAGACCTGTGGCAGTTTTCTGTCAAATTGAGGTTTCTATTTCAGTTTATTTAGTATTATTGAATCAGATTGTGTCATTAGTGAACAATCCACAACTTTTTAAATTAAGGTCTAAGCAGCGAGAGCACTTGAAGCAAAAATTTCAAGGCAGATTATATGACACCTCGATTCAGAGTCTTTAATGTATATGGATTCCTTATGTAAAAATTTTCCTTGATCCAAAAAATGTTAGACTCGGTGCGACAGGGATTTACTCTTTTACTATTCAAAAAAGAGCTCATGTAGCAATCGACCTAAGTCCTTTCATTAGAAATTTTCCATACAATAAACTGCGAATGAACATAACAACATCCTTGCTTAATAGAGAAAATTGTTTTGATTGTCAAAGTTTTGAGATGGGTGAGCTACGATGCACTTGGTAGAGGTTAAAACTTAAGAAGGTGCTATGGTAATATCCAAACTTATCTCTTTATTTTTTCGTGTGTATCAAAGACAGTCATATGTCCATAACATTGCCCTCTTTCTTTAGTATCGTCCTTTCCACACTCGTGGTGGCTGTTCTTACCAAATTGGTATGTTCTTTCTGCGTTTAACAGTGTCATATGGGTGACGGATCTGGTGAAGGTACCTTCAAATCGAACGTACCAGAACTGTGTATAATACCCTTTGTCCTTCTCTCTGAAAGAATGCACGCCATTTTATAAAACAATACTCAAGCAAAACGACGAAATTTCGTATGTTAAAAGGAGTCCTCCGAAAGAAGCTCAAGAAGCCTGCCATCTGTAATTTTTTACCTGTTGCTTTTGTGTCATACCTATATTTAATTTATAATGCAACCAACATAGCCTATCATTAACATTACGCTGGGATTTGACACACGCTGGTGGTCAAAACGATCCAAACATTTCTAACCCCAACATGATGTGATGCGAAATGTTTGAGGTTGAATATGTTTTTGGCATCGTTTTGACCAGGGCTTAACCGATTGCGAGACAACGATATACAAACACAAAAGCATAAGCCCTTAATAACATAAACATAACAAACAAGAACATAACATAACATAAACAATAAATAACATAACGCATGCATACATGTGACATGA